GTTGTCTTCACAACTTGTGGGTACTGTTAACATTGGGGGTTTTAAAGATTGGACGACCATTTGTCCAGAATGTTATGGGGTTTCCTGCTTGAGCAGAGAGTTGGACTAGAAGTCCTCCAAGGTCCTTTCTAACTCTGTTATTCTATTATCTTCTGTAGCAACTCAATAACTGAACTGGCTGAGATCTACAAGAGAAAAAAGGCAGCTTGGGGACAATCTTCCCCATTGTCATTGTTATCTTCACATTCCAAAGATCAGAAGCTCCTCTAGTTATGTTAGAATAGATACCTGAGCCAGTCCAATGTCCAGTGGAGAAAATCCTACTGAAATTGGAAGTAAATCCTATTTAAAAAATATCCTTTCTAAAAATAAAAACTGGTAGAACAAATCTAACTGCCTATACAGGTTCATTTATATATAGGGGCATGGATAAAACAACAGCATGGCTACAAATGCAGAATTTAGTGGAATTTGTGATTTGTCTTTAGGAGTGATTGCTCTAACTACTTAGGAATAGACATTTTAGCTAGCATTGGCCTACCTGTAACAATTCAAGCAGTGGGATTGTTTCTTAGCATTGATTTGCATGGGCAAAGGAGAAATTATATTTAATGGCTAGTAGAACATAGGCCATTTTATTCCTCTTCACCCAATGACTTCTCTTCTCCAAGACAGAACAACTTTGTATTGCTGGTCACAGCAAGGAATGAGCCCACAAAGATTGGAGGCTAAAATTAACTTCAGAGTTAAATACTCTAAATCCTACTCAGGGCCATTTTAAGCAATGCCACAAATTAAGACGTCTTCCATAGCTAAGCCTAGGGCAACGTGCAAGCTGTCACAGCTTGGGAGGTTAAATCCCCAAGGCCGAAAGCTTTCATCCTTTGAAGTGACCAGAAACAGTGTCAGAAAATTTCCACGTGTCCTAGCATCTAGAGGTATGCCATGTCATGCTGCAATGGAAGTCAGAGGACACAGCACAACAGCCACTACTGGAGTGTTTCTGGAAAAGCCTTGGTTAAGTGAAGTAAGGGCAGCCCTAAAGGACATCTTCTAAGACAGGCTAAGATACTTGATCTCCAAAAAAAAGATTGAGCCAAGGTATTTCCATCAGATATCACCTTCAGTTAATGAGACGAGTTTGGACATTTTGACAGCAATTGATCCCACTAGTTCTCCAATCCTCACTTTGAATTACCAAACAATGGAGCAGCCATTTCATCCTCAGGTATATATTTTCATTTCCATATAAATAAGGCCATTATGAGGGTTCTTATTTAATACGTAAGATGCCAAGTAAGTTAGAAAATGATGTCTGTTTTTTATGTTGTATTTTCATACCCAGGATAGGGTATGATTCTATGATGTTTGATAATATCATATTTTATAAATTGTCTATTTGCTGGAGGGGGAGTACTTTGTCTTATTGTTTTTATGATGGTGTGACCTTTCTTATGTTATTAGTGGAGGCAACTTATAAATAATTGTTAACAGATAAATACATTCCCCTCCTTGTCATGGTTTGGGACTCTTTTTCAGATGCAAGAATAGAAATGACCAGTAGATGGTCGTTTCGCTTTTCATCCAAGAAGCTTCTTCAGCTCTGACAGGATAGTGGGGAATGGAAGGATTTATATATGAGAAGTAAAACGTCTTCAAAGAAAAAAAAACCAAGGAAGTCCAGTTGCCTCCTGAAAAAGCACCTTCGGGACAACTATGACCTGAATGACAGAATCTTTACAGAAAGGTAGTGAATGGTTTCACATTCAGCCTGGAAGAGTTTAGGACAAGGGGAAGCCTAGAAATCTCAGGGCCAATATATTTTATGGTTAAGTTCATGTTGATATTGATTGAAAAGAACCCTTACAATTTTACATCGGGATCCTAAAGCAATGCAGTCAAGGATCGTTGACACAAACTGGAATAAAAAATTTACAGAGTTGTACTTACTGAATGTAGTTAGTGTTTGGAATTGGGTCAATGCTAAGCTATTGTGTTTGAAGGAGACTCTCTATAGACAGTGATCTTGAAGTATGAAATGGTTTTTAAAATATGAACATTTTCCTAAATCCTTGATGTGCAGCTAAATATGTATGAAAGTATTGGAGGAGTCGGGGAGGTGGGGAAGCCCTTGCTCTGTCCTTTTCAGACCTAAAATTCAGTGGCTTGTTACTGTGAAATAAATATGTAACAGATAGATATGAGGCAGCTCCCTAGGTGGCTCAGGGGCTAAGACACTGAGCTTGTCGATCAGAAACCCTAGTATCGGTTTCCTGTGTGAGCAGGGGGTTGGACTAGATGGCCTCCAAAGTCCTTTCCAACTCTGTTACTGTTACTTCGAGGTGGTGGTTCATGGAGACACAGGTTGAAAACAAACCAAACTCAGATTATGCATATTTTGAATCTAGGCCGCTGCAGAAGAAAAAGAACATTTCTCTGTAAGACCTTTGGACTAGTTCAGAATAAGCCCTGTCTTTGAACTGATTTGCACTTCCTGCTTTCCCAACATCTCAAGGACACACCACCTATGGTGGTGCAGGGTAAGAACGGATGATGTCATCCTCAGTCTGCCCTTAATATGGGAGGCCACCTCCTCATTCGATATTACACAAGTGCTCTTGTCTTACACAACTGTTCCGAGTGGTTGTTGTATATTTTGGGAGACGCCTCAATTTTGCTCTGGACACCATTTTGTTTTAGGCTTTGAAGCGGTCTGGCATAGAAGGTTTTTTTTTATTCTGAGTTCAGTAGAGAGTGATGAAATGCCTTTTTAAAAGGAAGGAAGGAAGGAAGGAAGGAAGGAAGGAAGGAAGGAAAGAAAGAAAGAAAGAAAGAAAGAAAGAAAGAAAGAAAGAAAGAAAGAAAGAAAGAAAGAAAGAAAGAAAGAAAGAAAGAAAGAAAGAAAGAGGTTCAGCAAAGGAATAATGAAAGGTGGACTATTTTTTTTTCCTTTACTTCTTTCAGCTCAGTAAAATTTGACAAGTGGCTTGTTTTAAACTATAAAATTATGGTCTCCCCCTCTCTCTTGCTGTTTTCACTCACAGGAGATGCCCCAGAAGGGAAAATAATAAAAAAGAAAAGAAAAGAAAAGAAAAGAAAAGAAAAGAAAAGAAAAGAAAAGAAAAGAAAAGAAAAGGGAGGGGAGGGGAGGGGAGGAGAGGAGAGGAGAGGAGAGGAGAGGAGAGGAGAGGAAAGGAAAGGAAAGGAAAGGAAAGGAAAGGAAAGGAAAGGAAAGGAAAGGAAATCCAACAATTAGGACTGAGTTAATTGTTGTCCAGGCAGGACACCAGCTAAAATAGGAAAAAAAAAACATTTCAAGTCTTAACAAGAATTTACAGCTGTTTATGTGCAGAGAGACAAAGACTGTTTTGCAGAAAAGCTCATAGGCTGTTTTGTGGAATTTTGGCTGACTGCAGGCCATAACCAGAGACCCCCTTTCTGTTTACCTTCATTTTTTTGTTACAGCATTAGAACAGAACAGAACAGAACAGAACAGAACAGAACAGAACAGAACAGAACAGAACAGAACAGAATAGAATAGAATAGAATTCTTTCTTGGCCAAGTGTGATTGGACACACAAGGAATCTGTCTTGGTGCATACGCTCTCAGTGTACATAAAAGAAAAGATACATTCATCAAGAATCATAAGATATAACACCTAATGATAGTCATAGGGAACAAATTATCAGTTGAAAGGTTTTCTTTCTTTTTCAAACTCCTATTAGCCAAATGCAAACTCTGGTCTTAGAGAAAAAGGCATTTTCCTTTGTACTCCCTGCTGAATCCCCTAAGCTAGGCCTGTTAACTTTCCTGTTCACTTGCTCATTTTTATCCAGAAGTTGGATGCACGCTCATTACTATTCCATACTCATTGCAAATACATCTTGAAACATTGCTCTATAGGGGTAGTTTTCGTTTAGTGACTGTCTCATGCAACAACTCTTCGCAATTATGTGACGAAAAAGTAACTTTGCAACCAGTCCTCACATTTCTGATCTAAAGGAAAGGAAAGCTAAAGTAAGATCATAAACAGGGTCATGGTTTCCCCTAGTGATGACTTTGCTTTACAGCCAATTTACCGGTCTTAGCTGCGCTTGCTAAATGTAACCCTCGACTTACAATCACAGTCGGTATCGGTACTTCCATGGCTGAGCAAGGAAGTTATTGAGTCATGCCTGATTTTACCTCTTTTTTGTTATAGTTGTTAAGTGGATCACCCTGGTTGTTAAGTGAATTGCATGATTGTTAAGCAAATCTGGCTCCCTCCCAATTAATTTTGCTTGTTTGCGGTCACCAGGGAAGGTCACAAACGGAGATGACATGAGCCTAGGACACTTTAATTATCATAAATAAATGCTGGTTGCCAAGTGCCTGAATACTGATCTCATGACCCATAGGGATACTGTGACGGTTGTAAGTGTGAGGACAGGTTGCAAGGCCCTTTTTTCAGTGCTGTTATAACTTCAAACGGTTGCTAAATGAATGAATGTAGGTCAAGGACTAACTGTACCTGTATTTTCATCTTCGCAGCTGCCAAATAGAGAGCTACAATGGTTTCAGGTTTTTTTTTCAGAGCAGAATATCTGCTTATTTTACTTTTGGAATATAATTTATTATAGAGAATATTGGGCAAATGACCAATACAATATACCCATCCCTTCAGAACAATAAATATTAGTATAATTCTCTCAAACCCATGAACATAGGCCTTCTCCTTTGCATTGCAGATCCCCCGTATGTAGTTAAGAAAGAAGACAAGAATAGTCCTTTCCAGAGGGAAGAATATGGGTCGCCAAAACCACATCAAAAGCTACTTTCTGTGAGCAGGCTGGATGAAAATGACGACAATGGAAGAGACCCAAACACATCACCCACCCTAAGCAATTCCAGTGAAGAACTAGACTTTGAGGATGAAGACGATGAAAGGCAGGAGAACTATTCAGATACTTTCAGCCTCTTCTCCGAAGACTCCGTCTTCCCAGACTATGAAGATGTTCCATCTGACAGTGAGGACTACCAAGCGATCACGTTGTACCGATGCTGTGTCGAAAATAATGCAAAGTTATTGCAGGATAAACTTGACAGGGGGGTGACCAGGGAAGAAGCCATGGAGTTGGATATCAACGGAAAGGTAATTAGACCTCCTTCCTGACCTGACACAGCAGGTGTGAACTGGAGATGAAACGGTCCTATGATGGTATAGTTCAACTGGGATATAACTAGAACAATGTTCAGCTTTGTAGGTCTTCTATCCCTAGCTTTACTGGTCTTAACAGTTAGTCATAGTCAACTACTTAAAGATCACCTGCAAGCTTCTATTGCTCCAGAATCAGTGGTCCATTTGTGGTTAGCACTCACTGCCATGAACATACTACTCCATTGCTCCAATCCCTGTACAGGATTCTGATTAGCTTCCAAATGCAAGTCAAAGTGTTAGCGATTGTGAATAAAGTCAATATGGCTTGGCATGGAAGTATCTTCTGGCCTTTTTCAAACACAATTGTTTATCCCAGGAGAAACTGCTGGTAGTTCCCCATCTCTACAAGGTATTTACAAGAAAGCTGGTGTGTTCTGACTTTCTATGGGACCTTTTCTTAGACTTTGGGATAACTTCCCCCTTGAATTGGGACTAGCCCCTAACAGAATAACATCAGAATAACATGAGTTGGAAGAGACTTTGCAGATCTTATAGTCCAACCCCCTGCTCAAGGAAACCCTATACAATTTCAGACAAAATAATTATTCAATTTCTTCTGAAAAGCCTCCAGTGTTGGAGCCCCCACAACTTCTGGAGGCAAGTTGTTCCACTGATTAATTATTCAAACTGTCAGGAAATGTCTCCTTAGTTCTAGGTTGCTTCTCTCTTTATAATTTGGCCTTCTGGAAACTACTGAAAACTGAGTTGTCCCAGAGCACCTACAATGATCCATGATACTTAGGATGGATGACTGTACTAGGATGGCGTTTAGATTTATACTTTTATACTTATACAGATTTTATACTTATGTAATTTATATTTTTACCATCAGATATTTTTATTTATAATGTTTTATTAGACTATACCACTGAGAGTCTAGGGATTATAGCTGGTGATCTCTCAAAATAAATCAATGAATCCAGTCATTCCACAGATCCAACTTACCTTAATATGATGGCTTCATGAAGCAGTTACGAACAACCTATTTGATGTTTGTGCCTGGCTAGATGATATGGGGAAACCATGACTGAATGGCACAAAGTCACATCCTTTTATCCAACTGAATGAATAGTAAAGTCATCTGGGGCCTATGTTGCTATTATTTCAAGTTTTAGTCCTAGAGTAGAATTTATTCATAGTATTCCTCACCATCATCGCCAATTCAGCCAAAAACTAAAGTGAATACTTCTTGTCGGTTGCATTTATGATGCTAGATAGACATAATTCTCTTCATAATTGGGTTAGTGGCTGTGATTTCCAGGTTTTATACACAGAAGTGGAAAAGATGCAACACTTGATTTGGGCTCTTAGGAGATTAGGATGCTTGCTCAGGGCCACCAGTCCCAACCCATTCTCCCTTGAACATGTTATGTTGCTCTACCCCAGTTTCTTCACCATGCTCCACCCTCATTCTCCTTTCACAATGTTTCCTGGAGTGGGGGAATAACACCTCCACACGCACACATCTTAGAAATACCAAGAGGGGAGTGCAGGATGAAGCTGGAGTTCCTACCAAGGGGAAGCAGCCCATCCCACTGCTGTAGGCCCTTTCATTCTCTCCTGCAAAATAATCACTCGCTTATACTCATATAAGAAAAGGTGTTTTGCATTCTGATTATTCACTCTGAGAAGCCCTAACACTCTATCCTCCAGGGTTTAAGAGGCTCCGCCTAAGCAGCTTATGGTTTTTGCAAGCCAGCCAATTGTCTTATGTGCTCTGGGAGGATCTAAAAGGGGAAATATAGTAGACTGGCTACAATATAAAAATGTGCCTTATACATGAGAAAATATATGTCTAATCCCTACTAATATCATCACCCTGTATTGATTGCCACTTTCTACTCATGGTTAACCAGAGAGTCCTATCTCGAGTGTCAATCTTATCATGGATCAGGATGAACAGAGCAGTGGTGAAATCCAAATTTTTTTATTACCGTTTCTGTGGACATGGCTTGATGGGCGTGGTGTGGTTTGGTGGGCGTGGCAGGGAAGGATACTGCAAAATCTTCATTCTTACCCCACTCTGGGACCAGCCAGAGGTGGTATTTGCCAATTCTCCAAACTACTCAGAATTTCCGCTACCAGTTCTCCGAACTGCTCAAAATTTCCACTACCGATTCTGCAGAACCTGTCAGAACCTGCTGGATTTCACCCCTGGAACAGAGTCACCAAGGATGGTAATGGAAAAGCATTTTTGCTACATGGCATCCAGCCCCTGCATGGGGCCACTGAACAAGCTCAGAAGTATGATCTTATTGCATCAGGGTTAGCCACAATGATGCAGCAACCATCAAGATATTAGGATCGTAGACCTCAAAACCTGAAGGGATGGATTGGGAAAGATCTTGTGTGCTCTGGAATATGGAAACTTAACCTTTTCCCTCTTGCTCTTCAGAACGGTCTCTTGGTAGCATGTTTCCGGGGTTTCAAAGATATTGTCATTCTTCTCAGTAAATGCCCCTACATAGATGTCAACCACCAGGATAATGATGGAAACACAGCAGTTATGGTGGCAGCCCAAGCAGGTAGGAAAAGTTACTATTTTCTATACATCACATTACACCAGGCAAGACACAGGGGACTTCAAAGAACATAAAAGATTCAAACATCAGCGGGATGTTTGATCATAATTTTAAAGCCAGCAAGCTGAAAAACACAGTTCCAAATGATAAAAAAAAAGGACTTTTCCCTTTCTGTCATACCCTTGTTTAAAATCATTATCTATCCAGACCAATATTTAATGGGGGGGGAAAAACACTATTGTTGGATCTTTATGTCCTGCATCTCTCATAGGATGCATTTACCAGGAAGGAGGGGGTGGGTGGGTTTTGAATGTACACTTCAGTGGTGGGATTCAAATTTTTTTACTACTGATTCTGTGGGTGTGGCTTGGTGGGCGTGGCTTGGTGGGCATGTCAGGGAATGGATACTGTAAAATCTCCATTTCCACCCCACCCCACTGCAGGGGAAGGGAAGGATACTGTAAAATCTCCATTCCCTCCCCACCCCACTAACCTGCTCCCTGTGCAGAGCAACAAAAGAAGACCCAGCCGATCAGCTGGGACTCAAGAGGCAGAGAATAGATGGGGGCAGGGCCATTCGGAGGTGGTATTTGCCGCTTCACCAAACTACTCAAAATTTCTGCTACCAGTTCTCCAGAACCGGTCAGAACCGGCTGAATACCACCTCTGGTACACTTGGGAATACTGTAAGAGAGTTGGGTTGGGTTTCCAGTTTGTGTGCTAATTGATTCTGGTTGGGGCAAAAAAGGAGCAGAAGAAGATATTTATTTGGGGCCTCCCCTAACATTTTCCTTCAGTTTCAATATAGGCAATGTGTGTTATTTTAAAGTGGTATGGGGTCTTAGGACAGAGAATCTGTTTGTTCCACAAACAGGATCTCAGGGGGTTTGTTAGTCAGTTCATTTATACACACATTGATGATTTGTGTCTATGGAAAGGAACTAGTTATAAACTGTCTGCAAAGCAAAAGTGATGGGGAGCTGCACAAAATGAAAAATCAAACAAAATTAAGAATACGCCCCTAGAGTAGAACTGTGGATTCTTTGTGATCGGTGCTGCCTTTAGATGGTAATGAGTATCTTTCTTTGGAGATCTCAGTGCATTCCTAACACTGTTCCCTTTCTCTCTCTGTTGCCACAAAGGATACATTACTATTTTGAACTATCTTCTGAATTACTATCCAGGAGTAGACATTGAGATGCAGGATGACAGAGGCCTGACTGCACTCATGAAGGCTGCAGTAAGAGGGAAGAACGATTGCATTGCAGCCTTGCTCATGGCAGGTATACGATTAATTGCCGCTGACTTTCCAGATGTTGATTTTAATGTTCTTGGAATTCACATAATCTGGTATTTAGAAAGTTAGTTAGAAACATTAGGGGCATCTCTTTTTTCAAGGAGAGCCGGTGTACAAACTTCCCTCCCCCAAACTGGAATATGAGTGAGAGATGTACTTTTCAGAACGGTTTAGAAAACAAAACATTGCTTCCAGACAGTCTTTTCTTCCATGTCCCTAAAGAGAAACCTAGAAGAACCAAATTGCAGTTGTTCCAGGATGCTAGAAATAAAGCTAAGAAGAAAAAAGAGGAGTTTCATTGCTTTTAGACCACACCAAAAAAGAGACTCTGTAGGGACTTTCAGGGTAATGGCCACCTTTCATGAAGAGATTAGTGTTATATTCTGGGTGAAGAATGGAGGTGAGGCCAGAGTAATTTTTGACAGCTCTTTATTCAATACTGCCTGTGAGGCAATTGTTGCTCCCTGGCTGACACAGCTCCTTTTATAGAGAAGCTGATCAGCCCACAACCAATCAGGAGAGAGTATTTTCCCGCTCCAACAGAGGACCAGACTGAGAACTTCAACTGACAACTATATGCAACACATAACACTGAGCAGTGCAGGACAGCAAAAGCAATTCTCTTTGTTACTCACCAGCATGCATGGGATGAAAAACAGCTCAAGAGTAGCCACAATAGACAAATTGCGGGGGAGCCATAATTTAGAGCCTTTTATCTTTAATAATTCTTGAAACAACCTAATCCCCATAAAAAGATTTGCCAGCATAGTGTTGACTTGTCCCTTTCCATAGTGGGCCCCTTCCATTCACACACAGATATTGTAGACCAGAGTTTCTCAACCTCAGCAACTCTAAAATGTGTGGACTTCAACTCCCCAAAATTCCCTAGCCAGCATGCTCATTGGGGAATTATGGGAGTTGGTCCACACATCTTAAAGTTGGCTAAGGTTAAGAAACACACACACACCCTTTTTTTTTAGATATTCCAGGTTTGGCCATTCCCATGACTTTACTTCTTTTTACAGACTAAATCAGTGTTTGTCTACCCCCATGTTATTCATCTGAAATTGGAGCAAAGCTAGATTGCTTCCTTTCCTTTTGATTTTTTTTTTTCAGTGCTGGGGCTTGAAAGGAAAACTGCTAGTCCAACTCTAAGCCTTTAATACATTTATAGTCAGTTTCACACACTGATAAGCAGCCTGCCTAGATCTCCTGCCTTAGCCCTGGGGTCAAGGAAGCCATTATTCTACACACAGGGACATTATACCATGATTAGAACAAATGGGAAAAGAACCAGGTTGCTATCCTTCTGTGACAGTTTTTCTCAACCTTGCCAACTTGAAAAGATGGACATCAACTCCCAGAATTCCACAGCCAGATGCCTAGGATCACAACTAGCAGAGCCTTTTAAAGAAAAAATAATAATCAAAGGAAGTTGATACTGCTACTACTCATATTTTACATATATAATTTTTTTAACATACATTCTATATTTTTGCATAGAGTGTGTGTTGAATATATTGGAGGCATGGAGACCAATTTATATTCTTCTACATGTAGGGGATTTTTATCATTCTGGAAACCATGGCAGCTTAGTGTGCCTTTAATTTTTTGTTGTTGTTGCTTGAATTTTTCTGTTGATCAGCTGGAGGGAAAATGGATTGGCTCATAAAGTCCCTTATCTCTTCTTATATTTCAAGGCCAGCAAAAGTTGGCTTGTGAGGGAAGGGAGGTGAAAGCCAAATTGGGGGGGGGGGAAATGTTTCGAAATGTAGACAGCTCTGTGAAGGGAAAGAGACTCTGGATGTTGGGGAAAGTCTACTTTGGTTGTTGTTTTGCATAGGCCAGCCAACAGTCAGGATCACCACAAGTTCAACATCATGATCTCTTCCCCATAACTCAGTAAAGTACATTCTACCCTCAGTGGGCCTATGGGAAACTAAGCCAATTTTGATGTTGCTGTTCCTTTTACTAGTTCCCCTTTGCCTCTGTTCTAGCTAGCAGCTGGAGGACACGGTCCTCATTCCCCTTCTCTACTTCAGCAGCCACCCAATCACAGGACTGCCGAGATGGTGATGGTTTTAATAAGATACTAGATCTCTCCATTTAGCCATCTGTTAGAAACTGCAAGCAAAGGGGCAAGGGAAGTTGAAAAAGCTAAATTCATTCTCACTGTCTGCATGAGCCAGAAGGAGTTTAGACATTTTCAGAATGTGTTCACTTCAGCTGTACAGAAATGGAAGAAAACAGAGAGAGAGATAGCTGAAAGGGCTGTTAAGCCCAAGGGCAGGGATGATAAGAGTATAGCAGGAAAGTTCCCCTGGTATCTATTCCTATCTATCTATCTATCTATCTATCTATCTATCTATCTATCTATCTATCTATCTATCTATCTATCTATCTCTATCATTGATCTACCTATCTACCTACCTAATTTTCTATCTCACAGAGGGACTTTCATTGCACAGCTCTTCAAAAGCTGATATGAATGGCAAGTCTGGGTATATTCCCAGCAGATTCTCCTGCTACATATTCCATGTGTACACAGGGTTGTTGTATTGTGTGAAATAAAAACAGCAATTAGACCTAATTATTCTCGATTCAGTACTCCATCAGTTGTAGACTCTACCAAGGATTCTGGCAGTTGTCCAAAGATACCAGGTGTTGAGAAAGTATCTTGGAACATCTTGGAAGGTCTTACTCAAATGAAATTGCTTGGTTGGTTGTTCCCATCTTGCTAATTAATCTGTGAAACATACACAACAGTACAGTTCTCTTGATAAAAAAAAAGTTCTCAATTAAAAACAAGTAAAGCAAAACATCCATCCAAATCTAAGCTCAAAAAGATTCCCCCACCCAAATCAGAAGCTTTTGATAGAAATTTTGTCAGACTAGATAATCTACATGAATCAAACTCCTGACTTCCAGAATCCTACCCCAATCCAGCTAATGATAAAAACCAGCAATTCTGTCTTCCATTTGATCTCACTCTCCATATGTCATTTTTTAAAAAACTTACACCTTCTTCCATCTGCTTGCAGACAGGAACCACAAGAATCCCCAATCCTTTTTAACCATATTGTTTACATATTTATATCTGATGACCTCCGCAAGGTGTCCTAATGGAAATCTTTGGAGGAAACTGAGCCTACTATTTAATTCTAAAGATGATAGTATCTATTTTTTTCTTGAATCTTATGCTATCAGGCAAGGGATTCTTTTTTCATCAGTTCTTCTCCACTGTAATCCTAGTGATAACACATGCTCTCTCATACACTTTCACATATAAACATACATGTTCACATATGTCCCTATGGAAGCTGCTTTCGCCCTCAGAAGGAAAGATAGGCAAGAAAATTCTACAATCCATGATTCTCTACTCAATGCACAACTCAATTGCACAATTCAGATGTACAAAAACTATACACCTGGAGAAAAAAAGAATTAGCACAGGAGCAGAACAGTTTTTGGGTAATATAAAGGAGCCCAGCTTCTCCTCCCTTGAATCTCAAAATGGGACAGTGAAAGCAATTCCAAAACCAGACTTCTGGAGCAACATCCAGGGGGCAGTGATATGCAAGCGTAGACTTGGGAATGAAACACCGCTGGACTTCTCATCGTGTGTGCTTTCTCCTAGGAGCTGACCTTGCTGTTGTGGACCCCGTGAAAGGAAAGACTGCACAGGAATGGGCAGCCATGAGTGGATGCTTTGAAACTATCATGCGGATCAGAATCCTTTTGCAACGCCCTTGTGCCCAGCAATTCTCTAACAAGTACTTGCCAGAGTGGCCACCTCTGCCTGAACTGGTGGCCCAAGCGACAGCTACAAAATCCAGAGCCAAGCGTCTGTCTGATCACATTTGCTCCATGTTTACCATCCGTTTCCCACAAGACCCTGAGACGGATGGGGTGATGGATCACATGGTGCGCATGACCACGTCCTTGGCCAGCCCATTTGTGACCACGGCTTGTCAAACGCTCTGTCCTGACAGCCCACCGGAAGTAGGCAAGCAGAGACACTCAGTGCCAGAAATTCTCAACCAATATGTACCTGATCCCGATGCCAAATCAGTAAATAGCAGATCGTGCAGCAGTAGCCAGTTCAGGACCCAAACCCTGATACCATATCAATCCCCTAGTCTCATTGTGAAGTTTCTGTCACTTCCTTTGCGATTTAACAGCACGATTCCAAAAATTAAGCTCAGCAAGTCGTCTGCCCAGTCAATTCCTGAAGAGAACAAACCACCCAAGACTAAAAAAAAGAATGCATTGCAGGTGCCTAAATGGCGATACACGGAGCTGAAAGAAGAGAAGAAGAAATCTGAGGAAGCAGAGGGGCACAAGAAGAAGCCAGACAAGGTTAAAGGAAAAGGCGAATAGTTGTAATGTTTGGGGATGCAAGAAGAAAATGATACTCCAAAGACAAAGTAAAACTCTGCCTTAGGGTGATTCAGAGAAATATCAGCACCCTTATGGATACTTTCTCAATTTTTGGTCACGCTAAGGAACTAATTCTAGAGTTACTTGCCAATATTGGTAATAGACTCTAATCCTCAGGATAGAAAGTGTGGGTGTTACAGAAGAAAGAGTGTATATTTAATGTCTCCCTTGCATGGAATATCCCAACTCCGGTCCTCAAATGAACCTTAAGACTATGCTTAGCGTCTTTCCTTTCAAGTTTTGGTGAAAAAGCTGTGGAAGAGAAGCAGATTGGGAGAATTAGAACTTGAAAATGGGCAAGATTGGGAAGAAACGCCCTCTCGCTCTCTTTTCAATGTATATTTTCTTTCTTCCCAAGAAAGTTACATTTAAGATGCATAATCTTATAATTATTATTTTCCCAAGAGCATTGCCTCATTGGTAGTCTGAGCCCTTAGGTGGGCAAAGGAAGAGTTGCTTCCAGATAATATTCTAAATTAAGTCAGGGAGAATCCCCCAGCATCCATTCTGCAACTCCCTAGCAGCTCTAGAAAGTATTGCTGAAAACAAGTAACAAAATAGCTAATTTTCAACAGTGTGTTTCTTTCTCTTTTTTTTCTCTTTCTCTCTTCCTTTCTCTCTCTCTCTCTCTCTTTCTCTCTCTCTCTTTCTTTCTTTCTCTTTCTTTTTCTTTTGTGAGAGGTAAAGTCCGAGGTCATATGCTTTATTTCACATTTAACACACATACACACACCATGCAAAAAGTTCTGAATTGATTTATTATGTGCCATCACGTCAATGTAGATTCTTAATGGCTACATATACTGTGTTTCTCCAAAAATAAGACCTCCCCCCAAAATAAGACCTCCCCAAAAATAAACCTTCCCCTGAAAATAAGACCTCCCTGAAAATATTTTAAAGCATTTGCAGCCGGTCCCCGCCATTTCCTATGGTTAGGGTTAGGGAGACAGAGCTGAAAATCAGGTAAGATGGCAAGAAGATTCCTGTCTCGCTCAACGCACCCCAAAATAATAAGACCTCCCCAAAAATAAGGCCAAGCGCTTATTTCAGGGTTCAAAAAATATAAGACAGGGTCTTATTTTTGAGGAAACACGGTAGTACATAGATTTCTTGCATGATGATCAATCCTTAATCTGATCTTTTAGATCTTCAAAAACAAAAATCAACAGAACAATTTAGGATAGTTTCCACTTTTTTAAAAAATGAGAATGGAAAGTAGTTTACCTTCCAGTGCCCTCCTACCTCTCATTTTTTACCCTGCCATCTAAAATATGAAAAAACAAGGCCACCAGGGGCCCTCTAGACTTGCCCATCTCAGCTCTACAAAAAGGGCCATCACAACTAGATCTTACAATCTTTTCTCTGAAGTTGAGAGCTGAGGTCACATCTGTAGAAAAGCGGAGTGATTGGTTTGGATGTGCTATTACCAAGTTCAAGAAATATATGAAGCTGGGAAGATGTGACAATTATATTTATTTATTTATTTAAAACAAACAAAACATGCGATTTGTCTTTATTTCTTTTTTTCACTTTCTGAACTAGGTTCAACTTACCTTTCATTTCTCTGTAGCATACATTCCGTTCTCGTAGAGCAAGTAAGAATAAATCATTTTTTGATGTTAACAAAAATAGAAAATTAGAAGATCATATAGAATTGCTGGAGAAAACTATTTTTAAGATTGTGGGGGGAAATAAAATAGTGGGTATTACTGTGACAAATATGAATTCAATGTTATTTCGAAATAATTACAGTATGTTAGATATGGACTGAAATTAAGAAGGACATGTTAAGATGGGAGAAATTAAAATATGTCACTTGAGGAGAATTTCTATGATAAAAATCAAAGTTTTGCTAAGAATGATGTTTTTATTTTGTGTAATATCTACTTTAGCAACAGTTGTACCATTTTAACAATGGCAAAAACTATCTACATTTATGTGGTGTGACAGGACAGGTTGCCTATATGATGGCCAGCATTTATTTTGCTGTGGCCTTTCCCTAGCCAGCAAAGCAACTGTTGGCAATAAACTCTGAGCAGAGAGGCAGCTGGGTATCTGTTCATCTGTGGAAATAAAGCAGCCTGAAGCAACCTAAAGCAGATAGATAAGGATACTCAGTAGTGGGATTCAAAAATTTTTTACTATCGGTTCTGTGGGCGTGGCTGGTGGGTGTGGCTTGGTGGACATGGCAGGGGAAGGATACTGTAAAATCTCCATTCCCACCCCACTCCAGGGGAAGGTTACTGCAAAATCACCATTTCCTCTCAATCAGCTGGAACTCGGGAGGCAGAGAATAGATGGGGCGGGGCCAGTCAGAGGTGGTATTTACCGGTTCTCCAAACTACTCAAAATTTCCGCTACCAGTTCTCCAGAACTGGTCATAACCTGCTGAATACCACCTCTGAGGATACTGTTCTCCAGCAGTAGGACTCACAAGTAGTAGGAGAAGGAAGAACAGTAGGAGGCTATGGTGAAGTGGGAAAGAATGGGGTAGTGAGCAATGAATACTAGATTTGAGTGCTTGTGTGTCTGCTGCTTAGGGTCCTGGTTTGTTGTGTTGGCTGTCTTGTGTTTTGGAGCCTACTAATTTGGGTATATGTAAAGGAATCCATGACAAATGGAACAGGAAAAAGAAAAACCCCAAGTTAAAAATAAAGTGTTATAAGATTCAAAGAAAAGAGGAGGATTGGAGTTTACTTAATTTGAAATTGTATTTCCCTGCTTGTTGTTCGATCTGGATGAAAAAAAAAAATGATGTAGCTGAGAAACAAGTCTTACGTTAGAAGATCATGACCCGAAGTTTGGATGGCATTGATATTTGTCATATGATAAAATTAAAATTAATGTGGACTTTAAAAATCATATTATTAGATGTGCCATATTGAGAATATGGAATAGATACAAACCCAGGTTGTGCCTAAAAGTACCTTTATGGATCTCAGCACAAGAAGCATATGAGAACTGGCAGATGAAACTGAATGGTTGATATACCAGGACTGACTGGAAAATTAACAGAGGAACATCAAATTGAGAAAGCCGTTAATAGCACAAGGATACTAATTATTTTATTTTTATCTAATTAAATATTAATAAACTAAGAATTTTGGTTATACAGATAGATCAGTGGGAAAATGTGTTAAAAAGGTTGAAATTTATATTGTGTTACGATCTCAAACAGATTTTTTTCTAAAATGATTTATTGGAGAAATACAGAATCAGTGGTGGGATTCAGCTGGTTCTCACTGGTTCGTGTGAACTGGTTGTTAAATTACCCATCCCTTCCCCACTATCAAAGTGGAACCTGGGCGCTGCACTGCACTGCAATGGAGAAACGGGCAACGGAGTGGCTGGCACGAGGGAAGGAAGGAGGGAAGGAAGCCACTTTCCCTCTTTCTTCTCCCTGCTCCTCCTCCTTCCCTCATGCCAGCCACTCCATTGCCCGTTTCTCCATTGCAGTGCAGCGCAGCGCCCCAGATCCACTTTGATAGCAGGGGGCAGGGGGGTAATTTAACAATCGGTTCACCCAGGGTTAGGTTGGCCATCGCAGGTGTCTCATCCCACATGTGCTGCGCAGCTGGAAGACGGGGATGGGCCTCCCTGCCACGAGAGTCAACCTGACCCTGGGAGAACTGGTTGTTAAATTATTTGAACCCTACCACTATACAGAATATATAAAGGCACTTCAGATGTATGTTAGAAATGTGAACAACATGAAGGGACATTTTATCATGCACATAAATAAAAGCTTTAAAAATTGGATTCAAATCAGGGGTGAAATCTACTTACCTGCGCTACTGGTTCACAAATGTGAGCACGCGCGCCTCCTCCACACATGCGCAGAGGGTCAAAAACGGGACATGATGACGGCCAGGCGGGTGGGCGGAGCCTCCCACCACCAGCACTATTGGTTCACCCGAGCTGGATAGAACCGGCTACATTTCACCACTGATTCCAATACATTCTTTTTTTATACACAGGATTTTAAAGATCAACATTCAATCCAAGCTAGCATTTTCTTTAAGGACTAATGAATAGAAAAAAAGCCATGGAAGATTATTTCAATATATGATTACTGTGGTGAAATTACTATGTGCACAGAGATGAAGACATTCAGCATTATCTACTATGAAGGAAGGGCTGGTGAAGTTGATAGATTTTCCTGAAATGGGTAAATTGACTTTCTTTGATTACAGAAGAGACATTGTCTACATTTATTGGAAGCCTCTTATGGACTTTTTGCATAAAAATACAAAAAAATGAACCTGCGATTTGTGTCTATGATGATTGCACTGGACAGATTATAGAAAGAACAGTAATATGATGTAACTTTAGAGAAAGAGGTTAAAATATGTTTGAACTTATAACTGCTGTGATGAATATTGGAAACTGTTTATATACTATTTTTCTTCAACTTTTTTCTTTTCTTGCACTTATTGATTTTTGTTTTATTTCTTTTTTCCTCCTACTAGTTTGCATTAGTTTTTATCTTCTTGTTTAAAAGTTTTAATAAAATTTATATATATATAAAAAGGGATGAACCATTTCTTTTACTTAATGATGCATGGTAATGTGGTAATCCCCGCTATGTGTGCTGTATAAAGCACATTTAGAACAAGGGTATCCAAGCTTGGCAACTTTAAGACCTGTGGACTTCGGCTGTCTGGGGAATTCTGGGAGTTGAAGTTTACAAGTCTTAAAATTGCCAAGGGTGACACCCCTGATTTAGAAGCAAGCAGGAACACCCCCCCCCAAAAAAAACTAGGGCTAGTAAACCACACAATGATGGTAAATGAAGCACTAGGAACTAAATAAGCCATTCCAATCCTGCATTTACCTTCTATGTGGACAACAGCTTCTCAGAAACTAAGCAGCCATTCATCAAGGCCAGTGGTGAAATCAACATTTTTTTACTACCAGTTCTGTGGGCGTGGCTTGGTGGGTGTGGTGTGGCTTGGTGGCCATGGCAGGGGAAGGATACTGCAAAATCCCCATTCCCTCCCCACTCCTAGGGGAAGGATATTGCAAAATCCCCATTCCTTCCCCGCTCCTAGGGGAAGGATATTGCAAAATCCCCATTCCCACCCCACTCTGGGGCCAGCCAGAGATGGTATTTGCCAGTTCTCCAACTACTCAAAATTTCCGCTACCAGTTCTCCAGAACCTGTCAGAACCTGCTGGATTTCACCACTGATCAAGACCTACAAATTCAGAACCTGAAAAGAATTCCTAAACTGCCCAAGCAAAACTTTATTTATGTTTAGCTCATTTCTAAAATATGTTGGCCATTCAATAGCAATAGGGCTAAAGGCAGTGGTGGGATTCAAATAATTTAACAACCAGTTCGCCCAGGGTCAGGTTGACTATTGTGGGAGGCATGACCCATCCCCGGCCTCCAGCTCTGCCACACATGAAGGATGAGCCTCCCGCAACAGCCAATCTGACCTGAGGCAAACTGATTGTTAAATTACCCCCACAGCCCGCTATCAAAGTGGATCCTGGGTGCTGAGCTACAATGGAGGAACGGGCAACAGAGTGGCCGGCACGAGGGAAGGAAGAGGAGCTGGGAGAAGAAAGAGGGAAAGCGGCCTTCTCCTTCCCTCACAGTGGCCGCTCCATTGCCTGTTTCTCCATTGCAGCACAGTGCAGCGCCTAGGGTCCACTTTGGTAGAGGGGGGTTGGTAATTTAACAACCGGTTTACTTGAACTGGTGCGAACCGGCTGAATCCCACCTCTGGCTAAAGATGATGTGTCAGAAAACAAGTATTAAAAATAAAAGCTTCCTCCATAAAGGAAAGGGGAAATGTATTGATCTACAGCTTCATAAGAGATACTTCAAAACTGCCTTTGTGGATTTTTTTGAAACAAGAGTTTTTTGAAGCAAAAGTTAAACTGTTCCGTTTCCCAAGCCTATAGCACTATGGGAAACTGGAATATTAGAACAGTGCTGTCCCCATATGTGAAATAATAATACTGTAGAAGGAAGAAAAAAAATCCCAAAGACCCTAGGATAATTAAGATAGTGAGGATAATTTAAAAAGGCGTGCCTTGCAACAAAATATTATTGTATATCATGCCTCTCTTGAATGAGCAGAAATCTACTTACTAGGATGATAAAGCATGTTGGATCCGATTCTAAAAATAAATTTCAGAGGTTATGTGATACAGACGTAACATCTGTTTGCAACATTTTAAAGCAGTTGCACCTTTTAATGACTCTACCTTCATATAATTATCTTAAATCGGAAATAGAAAGTCTGGTCTCAAAACAGTTCATACATCTGATAATTCTTCCAGCAGCCATATTTCAGTGAATTTTAAGCAACTTTTTCTTTTTTCCATATCGTATCAACATGGAGTGGTGCAGTGGCTTAGAGGTGGAGCTCTCGCCTCACAATCAGGAGGCTGTGAGTTCAATCCTAGGTAGAGGCAGATATTTCTCTCTCTGGGCACACTGAGAATATATCTTCTGAACAAAACTCCGTATTGGTGACAGAAAGGGCATCCGGCCATTAAAACACTCTGCTAACTCCATTCAGTTGCCCAGACTCCACCCCGCAAGGGGCTACGGGGTCGTTAAATGAAGATGTATCATATCAACACTTAGTTCTCTCCACCACTCAAGCAATTATACTAGCATATATTTTGGTGACTAAGGACATGTGCAGCCTTGTTCTAGTCTGATTTTTACTTCTGATGTTCTCATTTGTTCGGTGATACTGTCTCCTTGTCACAGCAATTATATAATTTTCATAAAAATATGTCATTTATTAAAACACTTTAATAGAAATATGTTACTTTCACAATTTTTAAATATATAAAAAACTCTTTTGCTTGGCAGCAATTTCCTATTTCCATCCTCCCTATCTCTGAAAAATACAGAGTAATGGTGCAATATATTATAATTAGTAATATTATACAATGTGCTGAAATGATAACTATACCCAATTTCACAAATCTCTTATATGTACCAAGCTACACTGGGTTTTTAATTTTCTTTTAATCCAGCATTTCCAAAGTACCTCTAAGGCTGTTACATTGCTATAGGAAAATCTACAAAGATCACCCAAAGAACAAAACAGGTCAGTCTCCAGTGACACAGTACAAAAAGTTGATATTAATAGTGCTGGTAAATAGAAACTAAAATTAAAATCATCGGAAAGAGACCCCATTTTTTCAGAGCTAATCAAAACCATGCAAATATAGTTACAGATTTTAAGAATAAAATTTACTGTGACAGTCAAATAGCTGTATGCAATTACTTTGTTTTATTAAACTAAATTTGTTCAGTTATTTATTGTACAAAGGGGATGGGAGATTCCAAACATTAAAATGATTAGACTAAAATTAAAACAAATAAAGTAAATCATTAACAATAATCCACAATTAGTCAGTAGTTAAAAGCCTGTTCAAAATCATGTGTGGTAAAAATCTTTTAAAAAGCTAGTAAGGACATTAACTCCTTAATTTATGATTAAGGGAACCATTTTGGTCCAGTGCCTAAGGCACCAAGCCAGAAATCAGGAGACCCGAGTTCTAGTCCACCCTTAGGCATGAAAGCTGGCTGGGTGACTTTGGGCCAGTCATTGTCTCTCAGCCCAACCTCCGAGAATTGTTGTTGTTGTGGGGAAAAGAGGAGGAGGAAAAAATATTAGGTATGTTTACCAGGGGTGAAATGCTCCTGGTTCGGACCGGCTCGTGTGAGTAGGTAGCGATGGTGGCGGGCAGTTCGGAGAACCGGTAGCAAAAATCCCTGCCCCCGCCCCCCATGCCCAGCCGAGCCGCAGCATCATCAGAGCCTTTTTTTCTTTAAAATGGCTCTGACGAGCCAAGCTCTGACAATCCCAGCTGAGTTGCCTGATAATCAGGCAACTCAGCTTGGATCGCCAGAGCCATGTAAAAGAAAAAAAGTTTCTTTTTTTCTCTCCCCCCCCCCAGCCTCCAGCTTGCTTACCTTAGCTGCTGGTCACAACGCTGTGATATCTGCAATCCATTGCATCAGCAAGCAACTGAATCTCCCTGCCTGCAATCAAGCTCATTGGTGAGCAGCTCTAGCTGCAACTTTAAGACTTGTGGACTTCAACTCCCAGCAAAGCTGGCTGAGGAATTCTGGGAGTTGAAGTCCACAAGTCTTAAAGTTGCCAAGGTTGGAGACCTTTTTTCCCCTTTGGGAGCTTTAAAAGAAATAGTTAATTGTGGGTTTTTTTAGTTGTTCTTTTTTTAGACCTAGCCATTTAAAGTTTAGGAAGTTTTAAATTTAGCTGCTTTTATATAAAAATAAAA